CTCATCCTCTTGATCCTCCCACGCGGTTCTGGCGAGCTAAGAAAATGTTTATCTGCCTGAGCTCGGCCTTCATAATTCCATTCCATCACAACAACATCCAAAACACAATTAAAAGCAATTAAAAATATAACAGACCATAATAGAGGATGCTAGCCTGGAGAAAAGCAACTATAACAACCAAACACATGGCAGGGGCTCCATAATACACTAACCCCAGGCCTGGGGACAGAGCCAGGTCTTAAGAGCCTTCCAGAACCCTAAAAGAGTGGACGACATATCTACCTCTGGAGGGATGCTATTCCAGAGGGACAGTGACAGGGAAGTCATGCTTTCTTGGTCCCAAAAGATGACAGCATTTAACTGAGGGAACTTGGAGCACACCCACTCTGCCCAAACGTACTGGGCAGGCAGAAACGATTGGAGACATGTGTTCCCCTAGATAACCAGGCCCTATGCCATGAAGGGATTTAGTTGTAATGACCAGCACCTTGAATTGCACCCAGAAGCCAACTGGAAACCAATGCAGTTTGTGTAGCTGTGATGACACATGGTCATAATGAGAAGTGCCTGTTACTGCTTGTGCCCTTGCATTCTGGACCAGCTGTAGCTTCTGAATGGTCTTCAAGCCCTATGTAGAGTACATTGCAGTAGTCCAATCATGAGGTGACCAAGGCATGAGTAAGTGTCTAAGGGGCCTCCCAATCCATGAACCCCCAAGTGACCAACCAAGTCTCAAATGGGGAAATGCAACCCCATCCAAGACCAATGGTAAAAGTGTCCCCAACCTTGGGGGCCCAAACAGCCACAGCCATAACTATTCAGTCTTGTCAGGATTGAGCTGAAGTCTGTTCCACCACTTCCAGACCCTAATAGCCTCCAGACACTGAGTTCGTCCGTTGACAGCTTCACCTACACAGCCCATGGTTGAGATGCATATTTGGCTGTCATCCATATTCTGATGATACCAAACCCCAAACTGACAGATGACCTCACCCAGCAGTTTCATGTAGATGTTAGGACTGGGAGAGAGTGTCATGAGACACCCCACACATGAGGGCCACAGGCATGATCTCTCCCCTCCTGTCACCTCTGACTGGACATGACCACTGAGGAAGGGAGTGAATCACTGCAACACAGTGCCCCCATTCCTAACATCCATGGTTGATGGTATCAAAAGCCACTGAGAGATCAAGGAACACAAGGATGGATGCACCACCCCCATCTTGGCTCTGCCAAAGGTAATTAACAAGCACATCAAACACTGTCTTTGTGCTATACCTTGGTCTGAAACCTGACTGAAACAAGATTTCCTTCAAAATCTTCTGTACATAGCTGCCATCTGACCACCTTCTCCACAATGTTTCCCACAAAGGGAAGATTGGAAACTGGATGATAATTGTCCAAGATTGAGGAGTCCAACATGATCTCTTGAGAAGAGGGTGCACCTTGTTTGAGACCAGAAGCTCCTCCCCCCCCCCCCCCCCC